CCAGTGCCGCCCCCTTACCCAGTGCCTTTCATGGACTCTTCCTAACACAGCACTTTGTAACTAATAAACGTCGGGTTCTCAGTATTTTGTACTGCGCTAGATTAGCAGTGATGACGCATCGCACTCCCGGGCCCAGCACAGTGCGGGTGGAAGATCAGGGGTTAACGGGCCACTAAGTGGAAACCAGATGTGACAGCTCCGCCCACAGGATCCAAGATGTCTGACACTGGAGGAGCTCCGCCCACAGGATCCAAGATGTCTGACACTGGAGGAGCTCCGCCCACAGGATCCAAGATGTCTGACACTGGAGGAGCTCCGCCCACAGGAACCAAGATGTCTGACATTGGAGGAGCTCCGCCCACAGCAACCAAGATGTCTGACACTGGAGGAGCTCCGCCCACAGGAACCAAGATGTCTGACATTGGAGGAGCTCCGCCCACAGGAACCAAGATGTCCGACATTAGAGGAGCTCCGCCCACAGGAACCAAGATGTCCGACACTGGAGGAGCTCCGCCCACAGGAACCAAGATGTCCGACTCTGGAGGCGAAATGATGGTGCAGTGCGATTGTCACATTTTACATGGAGTGGCCCTTTAAATCTTCTGAGAATTGCTCACTACTACCTCACACCTCGGACACTGTGCTGGGGGAAGGATTTCCTGGTGGCGCAGGGTGTCAGCACTTCCTGTGCTGGGGGAAGCATTTCCTGGTGGCGCAGGGTGTCAGCACTTCCTGTGCTGGGGGAAGCATTTCCTGGTGGCGCAGGGTGTCAGCACTTCCTGTCCCGGGCGTCTCCTGATCAATGACTAATTGTTGCTCTTTTCTAATTGTTTGTTGAATTTTGTAGCATAATAAAGATACAATGTGACCTGCGTGACCCCGCGTGTAGCCGCACAGGAAGTGGGGGAGGGGCCTCTGCTGATGTCTCTCTATGGTTAGATGAGAGCCTCTGATTGGCTCACCGCTGTCTCTGTCAGTGTGACTTCCTGTGTCGGTGTCACCGTGACAGGAAGTGTTACAAAGGTTCATATTTCGGTTATTTTTCACAAATGACACGTCACAAACTCCGCCCCCTACAATCGTTTATTACTCAGCAGAGAACAGCAATCAATCAATACAAGCCCCCCCCCCCCCCC